GTTTGGTAATTATTTGTAAAAGCATACTAAGTTTCTGATTATTTGTGTTGTCATTAATAATTTGTAAGACAATGCGGTTTATTTGTACCATTTCTGCTGAGGTTAAAGTTTTATCAAATTTGATAACTATACCAAAAATTGACTATATTGGGATAGCTATAAGCTGATCCTTACATTATATCATGCCAATCCCCCTCCCCCCTTTTTAAAATCACGGGATACCGATCAGTAAAAATAATGCCATTCCTACTGCATTTCAGTTTACCATGTCGTTTTGTTTTTAAGCGACTGCCCAGATCTTAGCTCCAATTTCATTAGTGATTACAATTTTTTTCACTGTGATCTTATTTTAAAGCTTGTTCTCCTTCAAATACGGGATAATTTGTGTTTAAAGTGCAAATAATATCGGCACAAGAGGAATTCAGTGGAACACATCATTTTCAGTTACATGTAATTATGCAATTTTACTATATTACTTCATATTAAACTTTGATGAATCGACGACTTTTTTATACACCATGTATAGCCAAATAAACGTTTGGTGCGTTATTCTGATATTTGACAAATCTTTGCATTTTGAGCACATATTAAGTGAAAGTATTTAAGGCGTTCAATTGACCTCAGAAGTCATTACGTCACGTTATTGTCAAACAATAGCGAGCTTAAGCAAGCGACTTTTTTGTCAACACGGACGTCATCTGAAAATTGGTATAACTAATTTGGGCGGAATTTTGCATCACGATGCTCGCCGTGTAAGGAAGCGAAAAACCTTAAAAAACTTGCATTTTGTCATATGTGTTGAAGATTACCACACACTGATACAAACACAGTTTTTAATCCAGTCCCCCCCCCCTGGCAATCTGACGTCCGTGTTGACAAAAACATCACTTGCTTAAGCTCGCTATTGAATATTTGACCCACAGGTATGCCACATTGCATTGCGTATACGGCCAGGGCCGTAGGAAGCTCTTTTCGATTGGGGGGGGGGCTGAAAGCGAGGGCCAAAGACCCGAGGAAATTTTAAATTTAGAGTCTCTAAAATGCCATTTCCTGGACTTTGGGGGAAGATTTAACAGAATTCTGATAGTCAGAAAACAGCGTTTTAGTATGTCGAAATTTACAGGAAAGTATGGGCCAGACTGTAGTATTATAAATGCACGGCGGGAATTTTCGTCGTAAATGGCAGTTGCGCGGAAATGAAGGCAGAACATTTGAGAAAATTTCGAAAATCTGGAGTCTCTAGATGGTCTGAAATGGCATTTTCAGAGTTTTCTTTCGCAAGACCCAACACGCAAAAGACAAAATAAATCATTAGTTCATCAAAAACGTGCAGATTTTGTGGGATTTTCTTGAAAATGCATGCGCGACAGAAATTCAGCTAAAATTTCTACGCGAGGAACAATCTGGAGTATGAGTAATATCTTCATTCTTTGCAGTTTGTCACAGATTAAATGATAAAGTTTGCATGATTTTGAAAAAAGAATGATTATTAGCAAATTATTGGGGGGGGGGGCTGCAGCCCCCCAGCCCCCCCCCCCGGTTGCTACGGCCCTGAGTACCTAATGTTTAGATGCATTGAAAATTGCGTGACTAACAATATCTAGGGCCGGTGAATTGTCTAAATGTTGGTAGATGACGCTATACATACTATCATCACATGGTGCGATATTATGGTGGTATTCGTTCAAATGGTTCTGTATCTTTATAGCATTCCTCAAAGACACTTGAAACAATATTTTCTGCTTCATCTTTGTTAATATCACTCACACATAGGATTGATTTAACAGCTCTGTTTCTTGCACATTTCTGGTAAAAGAAAAAAGAACAATTCAGCGAATTCAAAACCGCGGGTTAATATACTATAGGAATACCGGCTTGGAATAAATGTATGTGAACTGTATATTGTAGACGTCAGAGGTACATCAAAGATTCTTAGCTAGCTAACAAGGACTAGTAATAGATCAATCAGACGACATTTTATAGTCTGATTGGTGAATTCTAGAATGTGATGAAAAGCTCCGTCTGAAAAGTCTCGAGGTCTGTTCATGAACTGTCGTTGAAAACTTTTGATGTCGTTCTAAGTAGTACCCACGCTTCTCTAACAACACATCTGTTTTAAAAACTGTATATTTCGAATCCATTTTGATTCATCTTCAGCAGCTGTATCTTGTAAGTTGTTATAATGCATACTTTCCACGCTTCTCTCCCGCTAGTAAATTATGCTTTGGTCAACACACCGATGCAACAATACAGCAATAGCAATATCGCACGGCATGCAGAAACAGTCTATTTAAAACCCTTTAGGGCTACAGAATGCGCATTTGATCATATACTATAACATGTTAATTTGCGCAATATAAATATTAAATATTATTATTAGAATGTGTCCTATGGCACGTAAAACACATTGTTTAGTTTATTAAAAATCCAATCACATCTCATCCCAATCACATCTCATCCCACCTTTCAAACTTAACTAGGATTGCAATCCCCCTTAAAATTTTCTGCCCCTCTCTCCCTCGTCCCCAGGGCTTCTCGGCCGTCTGCGTTGAAGAAGCCCTGGGAACGAGGATGCTCTCTCCCCCCGTTCCCCCGTAGTAAATATGAAAATCCAGTCTGATTGCTACAATAACCGTTTATGACTTTTTACCTTTTGGTGACCTTTCCAACCAAAATTAAATCTTGAGAAAAATTCCTTCCAAAAGAAACAGTCACCACTAAGATTCGCGGCTCGTATCTGAAAGTATATAGCACATTTATTAAGCATATTGACAATCATTAGGTAGACTAAATAGTAAAATAGGTTTCTCGACAAAATTTAAATGTTAACTTTTGTCTACCCATTTAAGATCATAATAATGTTATTTAACCTTTTCCCGTGTATTTCATTGATTTAACGACATTTATTAGGTTGTTTGGTACATTTCCAATAAGATTGCAAGAAAGCAAAGATTCTCAAAGGATGGTTTATGCTGTGTTGTGACTGGCTGCAAAGAACAACGTTTTGTGTGACGTAATTCGTGCGCCTTTCCTCTAATAGATCATGGCTCTCGACCAATGAAAGCGCTTGAATTCTTAACGTTATTATATAAATAATAATAATTAACCTTCAGCAGATTTTGAGACTCAGAGAAGAGCAACAACTTCTGCCAAAGATGAGTATAAAGTCAAGCACGATTGATAATCTTTTAACTGAGATATAACAGATGTTGAACTAATCGTTTATAAAGTCAATTTGATGTTCGTTAAGAAAGTCATTGTCATATACACAACCTCATTATGTAAATCAATTTAAATATTCTTTAATTGAGCATCTCATTTCTATAGCTTCGTATCAATGTCAGTAATTCAAAATAGTAATCATACTTATAAATAGTTTCCTACCTCGCGCGACATATTTCTTAGTTTGCATGCCTTTGCATTTTACACTTTTGTCTGGAAAAATGTGCAAATTATACCAAAAGCAACACAAATAAAATACATTCATGCTATATAAAGAGCGTGAATAATTACTGTTTCTGCACACGCTAATTACTCATGAGTAATTAGCATGTGCAAAAACAGTAATTATTCACGCTCTTTAATAAAGGTGCACCTTTATTAAATACTCCTTTGACTAGCTACATGTTAGTGGAATCTTTAAGTGTTCGTCTAAAAAACCCGGATGTCGTATGATTTACATTTTTAGTATGTATTGTTAGAATTTAGCTGCTGTTTCGATAAAATTACTTGTCAGCATGATGTTAATAACAGCGACTTGCATGACATGCAGTAAGTATAAGTAAATACAGTAAGTATAAAACTAAAAGTTGCAGATTTAACTTTCTAAATCTTAATCAGAATTCTCGAAACACACGCTCCTTACTAACTATCAAACTCCTCCTTTGCCCTTGACATAGACTTGTCGAGTTACGATTTCCCCATATACGGGGCCATATATTTATCTTCTTTTAAAATTGTAATGCAAATCTCATCTGCATGTTTACCCACGTGGTTTACCTTAATTTCCACATCTTTGAAAATCCATTAATTTAGAATAAAGGAGGAAAAAAGAAAACAGCGCCATATTTTTGAAATTAGTGCATGGTGACCACCAACATCTCATTCATAGGCACACCTCATGAGTTTTGAGAATTTTCCTTATACTTATACAGGTATGACGGTAGTTCCCTCGCCCAGAACATTCACCCGCAGGATCGTGCGCTTGAAATCAATAGTACCTGATCATGATGCTGTTGAAGTTAATTATATAAACATTAAGACAAAACGACGAAGAGTCGTGTCATCACATTAGTGATGCAGATTATATTGCAGGTTACTGTAAACAAAGTTACTCGGACAAGAGAAATTACAGAAGTTTCTGTAATTTATAATAAGTAATACAGAAACGTCTCAAATTAGGACCTATTAGTATTAGCTAATACTAATCTAAAAGACTAATCTAATTTAAACACGACATAGCCAATCATGTTGCTCTATTTGGCCATATATACTGATTTTTCGAATGGTCGATGGTGAGGTTATCCAGCACTGGGACTGGATGATGTTTGATTAATTAATAAGGTTGCGATGGGTCTCAGATGGTCGGAGTTCCAGTTTTTGGTTTAGTCTGAGACAAATCGTTGCTAAAGGACACGAAATCCGTCCCAATCCTAATTTACAAATTGAAATGTTGCATGAAACACAAAAAAAGAGTAAAAATACAGTTCCACAATGAATAAAAAATTTTCACTAAAAATGAAAATATATGTATTAAAAATATGGTTGCTCACCTCAGTGCAAGCCAAATGCCTAAGATTATTAACATCATACTTGATTCGTGCAAAGTCATAGGCATGTATCAACTCGTGTGTCAACACGTCGTTCATACAGGATTGAGAATAGATAACGTTCTCACATAATACAACCTGGAAGACAAAACAATTGGAATTTCAAAATATATAAATAACTTAATGAAGCCAGTTTAAATAGTCCACAGAATCTTGAAACTGTTCAGTACAGTATATTATGCACAGGGCCGCCGAGAGGGGAGACATTTTCCCCCGGGCCCCATCTCAAAAGTGGCGCTCCAAAGTGAAGAAGGCCATTCAAATTTCTTCATACAAATCCTAACTGCATCAGTGCCGAATGATATATAGTGTATGTTGAAAATATGGAAGCATAAAAAGTTAGAACGTATTAAAATTACCCACAAACATGGACATAAAATTTTAATTTGTCTCTGTAAGAGTTTAAATGTCTTCATTTGTGGCGTGATTCCTGTGTCTGTGAATTTTGACAAAAAAACCCCGAAAAGACACTGTTACATTGCTAAATTGCATGGCTAAAAAGTCAGTTTCAACTCAATTTTGTTTCAAAATCGTTTTGAAAGAACTTAAGGAATCAGCAATTTTGGCCTCGTGGGGAAGATTATTCCAATGTGAGGCTAATCCTTTATAATTAAAGCACCTCTTGCCGAATTATTTCTTCGGAATAGGAAGAGCTAAATCAGTTTCTTTATTTATGAGATTGTAAGTATTTGCTCTTTCTTTATTGAAAAGAAAAACTTATTTTAGATTGGGTGCGGTATTCCAGTTAGGCGTTTTTCACACGCACGGAAAAGTCGAAATCCCTTTATTTAACATGTTACTATCTGGTTATTTATCCACCTAACATAGATAATAGCCATAGGTTAAAATAACCACGAAAAAGGTGAAAATTAACCAGGAATATTAAGTTATATTATTAAAAGTAAATCAGATAGTTTAGGAATCTAGCCCATAGTACCTTTTCATACTACATGCAGTCATATAGCTTATTGAAGGGAAGATGGCTATATGAAATTCATTAGAATAACAATATAACTCATTATCTATGTTAGTCAAAATTTATTCATAAATCTGGTCCTTCACCGTCACGTGTGTATTGTATTTTTGCCCAACTAACCAATAGCAATGTTTTATAGGAAAGTCACCTATCCGTGACTCGAACAATAGGATAAATTGGAAATTCTATTGGTGGATTTGGCAAAAATACAATACACACGTGACGGTGAAGGACCATATTTATGAATAGACGTTAACTAACATAGTCATATAGATAATGAGTTATATTGTTATAATTCCAATAAGTGTCACAGCCATCTTCCCTTCGATAAGCTATGAGGCTACGATACAGTGTATAAATTGCAGTTGTGGAATTATCAATTCATACTTAAAACTATTAATGAGTGATGATGAAATTTACCTGTTTCCGGTGAAAGTCGAAACCTCCAAGAACATTTTCCCCACAAGGTTCGCAAACTATGTGCTTACCAAGATCAACATTGCTGTTAAAAAATAACGAGATATTAACAGTACTGGAAAACTTCGAAGGGACGTTATCAGAGGAAAATTACATCAGTTAACGCAACGTCCCTTCGAAGTTTACAATTAGGTTGTAAACTTCGAAGGGACGTTATCAGAGGAAAATTACATCACTCAGAGAGTACCCCAAGGTTCCATCCTTGGTCCTCTTCTGTTTGCGCTACTAATTAACGATGTTGGTACTGATCTATCACAGTGTAAAATTATTCTCTATGCAGACGACACTGTTATCTATTTCAGCGACAAGAATGCTTCGATCATTGAAAGTACTTCAAATGAGGAAGTAAATCGAATTGCAATATGGATGAGAGATAACCATGCATCTGACGCTCAACCTAAAGAAAGGAAAAACAGATTTCGTCTTGTATGGAACAGCGAAGAAGCTGAGTAAGGAACTCCAGAAGATCAACGTACGTATAAACGGAGAGAAGGTGAATGAAGCAACAAAATACACGTACTTGGGAGTGATATTAGACCAACATCTAAACCTACATGACCATCTGGCCACAACCTATAAAAAGGCATCCTCGAGGCTAAAGTTACTGAAACGCATTATACCAAATCTAACGTCTGCTATAGCTGGAAAAGTGTACCACAGCATGATTCAGCCTATAGTAACATATTGTTCACCTGGGACTTCCAAACTACCAGATAGACAAACTTCAGGCAATCCAGGACCGAGGAAAGCGTATCGTGTGCCCCAAGGGAGTGACAACACAATGGAAACAAATTGCCGATGTCATTGACGAGCAGATCCTGATAGATGTGCATACATCTATACGATGTGTATCTCCGCCACAATACCATACCTATTTCAAAGTTCTCGAACATGGAAAGAACACAAGAGGAGATGGCTGCTCTCTCGTTATTCCGAGAGTAAAAACTGAAGTAGGAAGGAAGACCTTCAAATTTCAAGGAAGTTTGTTGTTTAACAAACTTCCGAAAGAACTAAAGACCGAAAAATCTGTTGTTATTTTTAAACGAAATTTAAAGCATTTGTACAAATAATTTTTATATGCATGTAAAACATTCTTAGCAGCCTTGAACTATGATTATTGACTTAATTTGACTTCTTATATAGAGACATTTTTCTAATAGAGTTTTTATGTTAGTATATTATTTGTAAACACAGGTCCTTGTAGGATACCAGCCATTGAACTCAACAGCTGAACAAGTTAACCTGTTAAAATATAGAATATAATAATAATAATAATAATAATAATAATAATAATAATAATAATAATAATAATAATAATAACAAGCAGCTCCGTTGTCAGGAAATCTTAAACAAAATGTCCACTTTGGACTGCAATTTGCAGCCTAGCAGGATTGTTTTGCCATTTTATATATTTAATATGATCTACATTTAAAACAATATTTAAAATTTCATCTCCTTTGAAATAAATACGCCAATAGTATACCTAAAGCAGCGAATTTAATGGGCTCACAGAAATGATTCCAGGTTAGTGCATTGTTCCATAGACCATACCATAAATATCAGGGAAGGAAATTATTCTTTAAGCCTAAACTGTTTTCACACCGCCCAAGTTGTTATCATTATGGCTTCTCTAGCAGTTTTAACATTGACAAAGATTAAATAAATATTTTACACGCCACTATTAAGTCTTAAGATCGTGTAGGCTACTCCCATGATTCAAAGGGCTTAATTTACTGATTTGTTTTTTAACTCGGAAAGAGTAACTGTCAAATTATGTCAATGTGGTACACGCGTATTGATACGGCAATTTCCATTTGCACGTTGGTACGTTGAAAAGATTAAACCTGGGGTCGGCTGTACGAATGCCGGATAGCGCTATCCACTGGATAGTGATTTTTGCAATCGTGGTTAAATTTATGTTTGTGATGTTGTCTCTGAGTGTGTCCACACCGGCAAGCTGAAACGTTTATATAAAACTACGGATATGGACTTCACAATTTATCAAACAAAACTTAACTGATTATAAATACTAAAATTTAATCCTGGTTATACCACTCAACGAACAATTTTAGAAAGGTTAAAGAAACTTAACACTATCCGGTTGATAGCGTTATCCGGTGCCACAGGCAATTTGCCCCCCCCCCGGGCCAAATTTCCTAGGAAATTTGGCCCCCCTTCGGAAATTTCCCCCCCCCCCCCTAAAAATTACAGTTTACTTTATCTTTAGGCTCGGAAATCGTGAAGCTTCTACTAAAACCAAATTTCTAGAACTTTTTCTCAACATTTATAGTTAGTTTGCGTAATTCTCCATTGAATTGCAATACTGACGAGAATTAGGCCAAGAGCTAAAGTTTAGCGTACTTTTCTCGTTTGGTTTTGACCAGCTTTGTAGCTGACAATGTTAATAAATAATGGCTGTATCATTAAGCTATGGAAACGAAACGATTTTTATAATATTTAAAATGATAAGAATTTTTGCTAATACTTGAAACGCATTCAAACCTTTGTGCTTTTGTGTTTGCGGAATGTTTTGTAAGTTTGATTCATGATTCAAAGGTTTGAAACCTTTGTGCTTTTGTGTGTGCGGAATGTATTTGTGAACCATGAAGCATGCAGTCTACTGACTTTCGTTTTTACGGAATGCTTCTGTAATGCATCCCAACCATATGAGGGATTATATATACTGTGTATATGTAAGTAAAATGAATAGGAAAAGTTTTACGAAATAACCACTCATTGATTTTGTTTTTCGAACAAACGTTTCCACTTAAAAGTCTACTTTTACCTAAATACTAATTACACCCTGTTATTTATTAGATGCGTGATCATGCGTGCATATTAACATATTCGCCAACGCATGTTGTCATCGTTTGCTAAAGTGCGGTTGTTATTCTGTTAGTCTATTATGTGACTGAATTTATAGATCTAAATAACTTGTACCGGTAATATCTTAGAATTCCTATCTCTAAAAAATCGTTTCGTGTCCTTAGCTTAAAGCTAAGCTATATGTGCTATGGTGTGATGTGTCTAGCATGACTGCACTAGCACATTATTATTATTACGCTTTCCTTCAAACTTTTAGCTCTTGCCCGCAATGAAGAATTCCGACACAAATAAATTATGCAAACTAACTATAAATACTGACAAACACTTTTAAGATAAAAAAAAACTTGGGGCCAAATTTCCTAGGAAATATGGCCGCCAGGAGGGCCAGATGTCCTACGAAATTTGGCCCCCAATTTTTTTTTTTTTTGGGGGGTGGGGGATTTCCTGGGACACTGGCTTTCGTACAACCGGCCCCAGGAGAATTACCATTCCTCTAAGACTAAGTCACGGAAAATTACTTGACTAAACCTAAAGTCTTAACCATTTCTTAAAAACAAACATTATATCTAAAGTTTGTTCGTTCACTGCAACCAGGTATATCAATCATGTTTCGCTCGCTACTCTGGTTTAAATAAATGATTACAAAGCAAAGTCGAATTGTAATCAAGACCCAACGTTTCGACACTCCAGTCTAGTGTCTTCATCAGGGGTGATCTAAAACTGCGATCGTGGCTTCTTAAATACCCAAGGGATGACGTCACCTGCCAAGAAGATGCATATATTCCTCTGGCAAATAGGCACCGTCATCCCTATTCAAAGCATGATGACTCATATTTATATGCCACGCTTCTAGGCAAAGTCTTTGACCATAACGATTGTTTGTGGTAATTACTTTAGAGTTTTCGCGCGCAATCTCGTGTTTGGTGTAACATACATGTTCGGCTAAAGCTGATTTTCCCTTGTCTAAAGTTGAAACAGCCTTTTGATGTTCTTTTAGCCGTGTACCAAACTGGCGTTTAGACTGACCCAAATACTCTTTGTCGCAGTCACCGCATGGTATAGAATATATAGCATGAGGCTTCTGATTTGTTTCAACAGGATCTTTTGGCTTTGCGAAAATATGGCCTAAAGTCAAATAGGGTTTTAAGGCAACGTTAATATTACAATTACTTAAGATTCTCTTGATTGGTTCTGTGACACCTTCAATGTATGGAACTATTGCATAATCCTTAACAGAGGTATAACCCTCGGAGTTATTTTGATTCCTACAAACAGGTGATTTCAAGCAATCATTAAGAAAACGTTTTGGGTAATCGTTTTCCCCTAAAATATTTAGAACATATTCACGTTCATTAGCTTGAGAATCACTGTTTGACGGCAACGATTCAGCTCTTTGAAGCAAAGTTATCATGCTTTCAATAGGGATGACGGTGCCTATTTGCCAGAGGAATATATGCATCTCATTGGCAGGTGACGTCATCCCTTGAGTATTTAAGAAGCCACGAACTTGCAATTTTAGATCACCCCTGATGAAGACACTAGACTGGAGTGTAGTCATTCTGTGTAGAAACGTTGGGTCTTGATTACAATTCGACTGGGCTTTGTAATCATTTATTTAAACCAGAGTAGCGAGCGAAACATGAAACATTATATCCTAGAATACAAAATAAAGTGTTGTTTCTATGATTTTATTGCAGCTGGGATACTATAAGTAAATGATACATCAAATTAAATTCTTCCATTTCGTAATGTTACGACTCGTTCTGCGTAAAATTGACACATTTAAGTAAAATCCTTCAGGTTTTATTTGCATTAACTTGATGCACTTGTACAAATGCATTCATTTCGAATTTACGCAAGTACGATTTGCTTTAAAATTCATGCACAATTTATTGTTTCCGAGTTAAACCAAAGAAACTCATTCAAAATCTGCACTCGTGCATTTTTTTAATAATGTTCTTCAAAAGTGAAAACCCAAATACTGAGATTATCCAGTCCTGAATAAAATATAAAATTATGGCTGCTCACGGCTTATTTGAAATTAACACGATCAGAAAATTCACTCGTTTTAATGCGGTGATAGACCCATAGGCGGATTTTCATATTTTTTACTGGGGTGGTGCCAGAAATTTTAGGGGGGTGAGCCGTGAGCAGGTGACTGAAGCAACACAAAGTGTCATGCACTAAACCCCAGTAAGGTCCATATGCTAGGGGTGGAGCACTAGAGCCGCGAGGGGGAGTTTAAGAAAAAACAAAGTATCCCAGGAAAAATTTGGAAAAAATCATGATTTCTAGCTTCGAAAAAAAGTTTTTTGAAGTTGTCATATCAATGGATTTGGCATGTCCGATTGTCTGTTGAGACTTGAGAGAGTTAAAGTTAAATGAACCTGTAAAAGTGTAAACCCAATAGGCCAATACACAATATGCTTTTACTTTTATAAAGTCATTGACATTGTGTCGTTTGAATCCGAGTACAATTTATGATGCAACTCCAATGTAAATAATATTTGGGGCGTAAAGATTAAATCTAGGCAAGTCTATTTCCTAAAAGAATTAAAAACTAAAAATAATGTTCGTAAAAATTCCAAACGTTCCTTGCAAGCAAGCTATTTGCATGACAAGGCACTGCAAACTCTATTCAGGGGAGATAATAGAGTTTCAAAACTTTACAATTGCTCCAATAAACCAGTGAATGCAAGCGAGGAGCGATTAGTTTCAGAGTATTGCACTGTCTTTTTCTATTTGAGTGTACTCCTACGTTTATTTTGTATCATCAACACTCTGCACGTTGGAGTGGACTATTTAATTATTTTTTATTATGCCAAATATTGGGGGGGGGTTGAAAATTTTTTTGGAGGGGTGGACATTTTGTTTGGGGGGTTATAGCTAATATTGGGTGGCACCTCCTGCCCCCACAACATCCGTCTATGGATAGAACAAAAAATACAATGTAGGAGTGTTAAAGTTATGTCTGATGACAATGAGTTAGTCTTTTAAATAAATTTCGATGTTTATGTACGAGATTTTCGTCATTTACTTTTTGTACACAGTGTTATAGATCGGTATTATCTTGCGAACTGTGTAAGATGTAATTTATGCAATACGAATTATAAAAGTTTTAAGTGTAGATTAATAAGAGAATATAAGCATTGCATTTTAAAGCAATTTTTACAGATTTTTAAAAAATAAAAGACAAAGCTTTACGGGAGACCTATGATTAATACCATATACATTATACTTGTGTTATGTATACAACATTATACTTATGTAATACAACATTATACTTATCTATACAACATTAAGTGGACAACAGTTTATGTTTTGATCATGTGGAACTCATGGTGCTATATACGACCAGTACCTATCTCTGAGATCTGAGATTTTACCTTCTAACTAAACTAACTAAAACTAGTAGGAATATTTTTTAAATATTTTGCCGTTCCTTTCTGGTCACTTTCATTTAAAAATAATATATAAAATACAACAGCATACATACCACCCTAATTTCTTCATGGCATCCAACATAAACTTGACATACGGAGCTATATTCAAGAAATATTTACAACTAATATAATGAGAAAACACTCAACTGTCGACCATCCTAGTCTAACACTATCTCTTAGTATATGGCTATTGTCATAGAAGAATTATACTGAATATTAAACTAATGCATTACACATTCATGACAGCATAGTAGAAGCAAACTTTGGAACTGTAAAATGACATATGATTGTACAATATGCAATATAAATAATAGGTTCCCACAAAGGTCAAACACAGCCCCCATCCAACTTTTTCCAAAATTTAAAAATCAATATATTCTTTGTGCCCTTTTTCTTGAATAAAGTGCTCTTTTCCACTGATAGGTTAATTATCAACTGTGTTGTCTAGTTTGTATTAAAGTAATTCCGCAGTTTTGCATTGCGCACTTTTACTGCGCATGTCTTATAACTTATTATTTCATCCATTATACGTACCGTTTAAAAAGTCATTTTATGACAATTTTATGTTACTTCAAAACATCTTTGATTACATTCGTGCAAAGAATTACGTTAAAATCAATGTTTTCAAAAAAGCATACAAAAGTGTAGCTAGGGTTCCCTGTGTCTGTAGTATATTTATTTACTTGTATTTCGCGTTTTAATGCTACAATTCCCTAAGGGATCGGTGACCCCCGTTTTTTAACTGATAATTTATTTCTTTAATGCATTTTACATTTCATATCCGAAATTAAAAGAAAAATCATTTCTGGATCTTGAAAAAAATCTTTATCAATGCATGTTCTCAGAGAAAGATATGTAAAGAAATGTGGAAAAGACATTTGTGGATCAGAATTGTACACGTTAGTAGTTTCATTTTGCTCAAAACACAATATTTTTTCAAAAATAATTACAAGATAGGTTTACTAAAGCAAAATCCGCGCTAAAAACGTCAATAAATATCGGGCTGTTGTGATTTTTCTGTTACTCGTAATGAGCGTCAAGATGGCGCCATATTGGGGTAAAGGTGGTACTTTGTGATTGTCATATGGGACCGGTCATAAAGTATTTACTAGGGGGTGTGGAGGATATTTTTTGGGGGTACGAAAAAAAAGAGAACCTCTGAGGGGTACGAAAAACAACAGAGACCTCTAGAGTGCAAAATCTTAGTACTATAGGTAGGAAAAAGTACATTTTATAACCAGTATTGTTGAATATTGAATGTTTTGTGCCAAGATTTAAGTTTGGAAAGAATTGCTTTACTATAATTATTAAATCAACACAAGGTATATGTTTTAGTCTGACTCAATGTCAGATGATAAGTAGGATTCAGTATCCGTTGAACTTTTGGAGTACAGTGATGCCAAGTCTCCCGGTTTCACCGGGAGTCTCCCGGTTTCACCGGGAGTCTCCCGGTTTGGAACCGTACCTCCCGGTCTCCTGGTGAACGAACAAAATCTCCCGGTATTCATGTCGGACCGATCGTGCTCTCCGTCATAAATTCAGAGAATCCAAAAAAATGTAAAAGATATAAACAACTTGTTCTAAAGTCGTCTAAATGTATTAATTGTACAGAAGTAAAACGCCATTCCGCAAATCACGTAGTTCTAACATTAACTCCGGAAGTTAATATAGTAGGGATAAACAAGTTTTTTTTCAAGGATTTTTTAGGGCCGTAAAACGACCCCAAAAATTCAATCTTGAATTGAGTTTTGAAACTCAATCTTCTTACCAAAGTTTCAGTGCAGTAAAAATGAAGTTGTTGCCTTGTTGGAGTTAAATTCGCGACGTGTGGAAATTAGTTTCAGTTGGAAACCCGACAATTAAGAAAAAATGGCTGGAATTCATCTCACAACAGACGAAAAACTACGCATTCGCCATCTTTAACCAGTTTATAGTGTCCCTCAGTGCCCCCTGCTTTAACGCATTGCATCTCAACTACATTTATTGAGGGGGGGGGGGTTCCAGCCACCCCAACTGTTCAGCTAAACTCAATCTCCTCTGCAAAAACGGACCCAAGAGAAAATCCTGAAAAAACCCCTGATAAATTATTTGATTAAATTTGGACAATACAATATCTATTGGCTTTGCAGTACCACACTTATGCAACAGTACTACTCATCCCCGGAGGGCTTATCTCTGGAGACTTATCCCCAGGGATATATATCTGAGGGCTAATCCCGGGGACTTTTCCCTGGGGACTTATCTCCGGGGACTTATCCCCGGGGACGGGGACTTATCCCCGGGGAACAACCTCTGGTAATCTCCTAGTTTCAGGCCTTTCAAACTGGGCATCACTGGGAGTACAAATCTGATACACCTGAATTGTCAATGCTAGCAAGCTCACACCGGCATTAGAAATTGATGAACCTGATGAGGAAGTGTCACATTGAATGGAATCTCAGCCCATCATCAGCTCAGCCCATAGCATGTCAGAATCTGAAAAGACTGGTGACGAATCGGAGACTGCGGAAAATGTTGAGGATATGGTTACCACTACAAGAAGTGGGAGAGTTATCGCAAACTGGAGAGTTTCGAAATATAGACAAACGCAAGACAAATGTTAAAACAGAATTAATGATAAAAGGGGGGGGTATGAAAATTTTCACTTACATTGAAGGGGGTTACAAAAATTTTTCCCCAGGTTTTTGGGAGGGTATGGAAATACGTACTTGAAATTTCATTTATCCTCCACCCACCCTCTAGATAGAAGTAATTACTTTATGACTGGTCCCTATCTTCTAAACGAGTTTGTATGTCTCTATTCTGTCACAGTGTAGAGACATACAGAGATATAACTGACCGTCGTAAACACTGCGGAAGATTATGTTATCATGTACCCAACTTCTTTCAGGCGACCAGGTGAAAAATGATCAACTGCGCGTGCTCAGCAAGTTTAAAGTGAGTTGTCATCAGGTCGTCATCCAATCAGATACATACACAACAGTCATACACACATGATCAATATACTCCCGGCGTACTTAATCGATAAAAACCGATCATCGGAAATCCAATCGATCAATCAATGGTATTATCAATGTTAATTACTTAATTGATATCGATTGACATTGGTCAATCGATGACCAATCGATAGTCACAAAAAGTTATACGCTAGCCAATTTTATCGATTATTATCGATATACATCGATTTTCATTGATATTTATTGATTTTTATCGACAAAATGATTTCGAATTTTATCGATTTATACCCTAATCGCCGCGTGCAGTCGGCGTGTTCGAGCTAAATAGTAAATCTGTTCTCATTTTTCGAATGTACACATGTATTTGATCTGTATTATAGCTAGATGAAAACCTAATTTAATCCATTGTTACCGAATTCCGTTCACATTTGAGTTTGTTAGGACATTAAAGGCATTAATTAAAGTATTAATTAATTGCATGCATATTAACGGAGGATTTTTTCATCAATGAAAATTAATAATAAATCGATGATCAATCGATGAAAGTCACAGCAAAAGAATTAAGCCATCGATTATTCATCAATTTCCAATATCAATCGATTGATAAATATCGATTGGTATTGATTGATATCGATACTCATCGATTATCGATTTCATTGATTAATGCATGAGTCAATTCCAACTGCGATCATCCCCCCCCCCCCCCCGGGCGAACCCCCAGGATTTGACCAGGGTTAATCCTGCATAGGCGAGAATTTGACGCGAAAACATTCCCGCACCGTCAGGCATTTGACCACTTTCATTTGACTGATCACTGGCGCAAAATTGGCCAGCGGTCGTGCTAATTAAGTGCTTGGTGTAGATGAACGTGATTTTTTTTCGCGTGTATAAAAACATACGACACGGCGTGAATAGTTTTTATATAAAATGCCGTTATATAAAGTTTGAAACTCGACCAGGGACGTCAAAAAGGCTGTAATCGCTTGTTCTTTTGCAGAATTTGTCTCAAAAGTTATGTGTCTTTATGATATTTTATAGATAAAAAGAAATTAACTTACAATAGCGAGCATAAAAGAGAAACGGCATTTCAAAACTATATAAATTGCAAAACTAAAAGTTTTGAGCCAATCATAAAATTAAATAAGTCTAGCTGGTTCTCTTCATGTAAAATTATATGGGAAACGTACGAGGCAGATATGGGCATTTGACTATGTTTTTGCCCGCACCGTTGGTAATTTGACAATGGGTTTCGCCCGCACCGTCGTTAATTTGACCGTATTTTTTTTGAAAAGTCAAATTCCCGGGGGGGATGATCGCAGTTGAAATTAATTCGTACATAAGTACGCCGGGATATACTCTATTTAAATACTCCAAACCTTTTCTACAGGAATTTTCTGCCCACTCTAAGCACCTGTTGTGTTTTCTGTGATTGGAATCGATATTTCTATTCACCCTTGCAGGAAACGATTGCTTCTCCGCCTCTGTTGGTCGTCGCTCACCACTATCCCTCGCACTGTCCGTCATGATTTACAAAATAAATGTATTTTTTCTCATTACAGGAATAACACGATACTAGAACGTTGCTGAATTTATATATCTTAAGACTTCCTCAAATTTTCGTAGAAAAATAATTCGGTATATAAGAAAAAATAGAACGAAGTTGTAAAATTGTACAGAAACCACTCTATAAAACATAAACATAAATCTTGGCAGCCATATTGGTTCTAAAAGCAAGTACTTCATGTTAGTTTTTTATGAAACTTCAACAACTTATATTTTAGATAGAACTAACGGTATTTTATTTTTAAACCATGTTTTAGAATGATCTATCCAGTGGCAGCGCCAGG